AAAAAATAATATAAAAAAATTATCTGTATAATACTGAAAAAAAAAAAAACTAAAATGTTGCGTGCCATTTTTTTAGTGTCCCTTTCCCTGTACCCTTTAAACTACGGCATTTTTTTTTAATTGCACAAACCCCAATATGATTTGAAGCAGGTGCACTTTAGTCCCTCGATAAACAAAAAAATGTGCACTTGTACCCTATGTGAGTTGAAGCAGATGCACTTCTTCTCCAATGGAATTAACATTAAAGGGTTAGTATTAAAAAAAGCACTCATTATTTTTCATGTTCTCTTGTTTTCTTTTTATTATATTTGAAAGTGTTTTTACTTTAAAAATGTAAATTTTCAAGTTGACATGTAGAAAAAAGTGTAAAAGTGTTTATAAAAAAAATAAATATTAATAATAAATCAACATAAGTAATTTACTAAGAATATTTAAATAATTTTATAAATATTTTTGTTTTTTTTATAAATTGATCTAAAAAATATTATATTATTATATTTTTTATTCTAAATTTCAACTATGTTATTTTTTTTTTCTTTTAGCCAAGTGTTAATTTTCTTATGCTGATGAAAAAAAAAAAGTTTCTTAACAAGGCCAAAAGGTGTTAATAGTTGTACAACAATAGGTGAAATACACTTGTCACACATCAAATGGGGTGCATGTGCACGTTTTGGTGTTTATTGGAGGCAAAGCGCACCTGCTTAAACAAACAAGGGGGACATGAGTAATTTCTCTGTTTCTCCAATCAAAGACAAAAAAAAATAATTAAAGAAAAATAAATCCCCATTTCTCTCAAATATCCATTTCATTGTCTTTCTAAAAACATACTACTTAATTATAAATTCTCTTGTTTGATCTCCCTTCTCTTTTCTGAAAAAATCTTCGTTTCTGTTTTTCTTCATCATTCTCTTGTACGAGAACTAGGGTTTTTTTGGATTCTGTTCAACTAAACGAAGCAAGTCGAAATGGCTTCTGAGGTTCGTTTCTTTCACCTCAATTTTTGACATTTATGCATTTATTCAATTCAGTCGTTTCCTGATTTCATCTATTTGCTCAGATTTTTTGCCTTTTTTTTTTTTCTATATTTTTGGAGATAACTTTTAGGTTTAATTTGCGAATTTTTGACGCAAAGTTGTTATCAGGTGTACGGATTACGTTCTGTCGGTTACAATACTATGGAGAATGATCTCTTGGGGGAAATGAATTGAATTAGGGTATTGTTTTGTATTTTTTTTTTCTTGATATTTTGTTTGGGTGGATTTTTTTTTCTTTTTTTTTGGGTTAATTAATTAAGGGTGATACCTATGGTGTGGATGTTAAGGGTGGCGGAGTGATGATAAGAGGTAGGAATTAGGGGGTGAAGATGACTGATTTCCAACCATTACAACAAAAATCAGAATCCACGAATGATCCGCATATGGATTTCGAGCGTGGATTGGAGGAGTTGATGCGTGGCCATTTGGATGATTGTATGTCCTTTGGGTCATGTAGTACGCCTCGCAATCCGGATGATGAGGATGACGAAAGGGATCAGCTTGTGCGGAGGAGGAGGAGGTCGGATCTTGAAGGTGATGACTTGGCGGAGTCTTCGGCTGCTAGGCGGCGTCACTCAACCCGGATTTTGAGCCGCTGGGCTGCCCGCCAAGCACAAGAGATGATAACAACGATTGAAAGGAGGAATCGTGAATCGGAGCTTATGGCTTTGGCAGGATTGCATACTGTTTCCATGCTTGACTCATCTTTCTTGAGGGAGTCTCAGTCTGCCACTTCTAGACGACAGGGGGCTAGTGAGAGACCTAGCACTCAGGCCTCTGCAATTTTGCAAATGTGGAGGGAGTTGGAGGATGAGCATTTGTTGAATAGGGCTCGAGAAAGGGTCAGAGAAAGGTTAAGGCAACGAAATATAGATCGTAATACAAATGAGTCTACAACAACCACGTCAGAGAGTCGGGGGAGTGAGAATCCTGGTAGTGTTGGGGATGTAAGTGAGAGTGAGAATGAGTATGGGATTTGGTCACAAGATCAGGGTGAGTCGCAGCATGAACATGAGGATAATAATGTGTCTAGTAGGGAGCAGTCTCCTGATCTTGGTGATGTTGAGAGGGAGAGGGTGAGACAGATTGTTCGGGGCTGGATGGAGAGTGGCATTAGTGATCATTCATCTAATGTCACCCAGAGAACTCGTAGTACTAGAGGAGAATGGCTTGGTGAGACAGAGCGTGAAAGGGTCAGAATTGTCCGGGAGTGGGTACAAATGACAAGTCAGCAGCGAGGAGCACGTGTGAGACAGAGGGAGGACCAGGCAGCTGGACTTGATGCACAAGTTGACCAAGTTCGTGAAGGCTCAATTGTGGACCATGATGAAGGGCACCCAGAGAATATTCGCAGGGACTTGCTGAGGCTGCGTGGTAGACAGGCTATAATTGATTTGCTTGTCAGAATTGAGAGGGAAAGACAAAGGGAATTAGAGGGTCTGTTGGAGCATCGTGCTGTCTCTGATTTTGCTCATCGTAATCGCATTCAGGTCAGTTCTTTATTGTGAAGGTTGCTTATTTTGCAAATCCCTGATTGGGGTTTCCTTTCGTGCTTAAGTGCTAAACAAATTCCCATAGTGTCATTTCAGTTGAATTAAGTAGGATGTATTCCAGCAGTTGTTTTAAGCATACAGGAGTCTAAACAATAAGAGAAAATATTTATATGTTTCATTTAATGGAATCAAAACATCCAGTGTGTACTAGTATTACAGTAATGGTGTAATGCAAATTAGTCCTTTCATAGAGTTGTTTGTTCCTTAGTTTGAGTTACAGAAAGTGCTAAATCGAGTATAATTGCTTGTTTATGTGGAGAGACAAAAACAAAGAGAAAGCAATGAGGTTATTTATCTGGTTTCCTTTTTTTGGTGAAAGAGATCCCATTCTAGTTAGAGGTTCTGTGCTGTTATTTTGCATTGTATCATGACTTGCTTGAATAACTTTAGTCTCAGTTAGATCTATTATTAATGGTTTTTAAAACTTAAATAGTGCCAGTTATTAGTTTGCTGCTTCTATTATAAAGTTGTTGAGCCCTTTCTCTAAGTGAGATATGCAGTTTCTTTCCTGCTGCATTGACTTTATGGTGCTGTACCCTGCCTCAAAAAAATACCATCTTCAGTGATTCACTTATTTCTTGTTTCCAGATGTATTTTCAGTCATTTTGTTGCTTCACTTTATGACATTCTTCTCAATCTCCGCCCTCTGCCCATATATACAGGATAAACTTCCTATGTTTTTTTGCAAACTGAAGGTTAAGAATGCACACACTGATTTCTAGTAGAAAATTTTTTAATTGCCTTCTAAATGAAAACAGCTTTTAACAGTTATTTCTCATCAACGCTGCAATTTTCATTTCATGGTGATGAATTTTTCTCATCTAGCCTGTTGAAATTTGAAAGTTCATCTGCATCAGGTTTCTTTGCTTGTGTAGTAGTACTTGGCTTGACTACTAATACTTTAAACTTCCTTTCAGTCATTACTAAGAGGCAGATTCTTGCGAAGTGAAAGACCGGCTGAAGATGAGAGGCCGCCGTCCACGGCAGCAAGTGAATTAAATCAATTAAGACAACGCCACACTGTGTCTGGTTTGAGGTATGCTATCTTCCTCATCCATATGTCTAAAGGTGGTAATGCCTTTTTTCATATTAATTCAATAAAAATTGTTGGATTTACTTTATACTAGATGTGTCTTTAATCAATTTTTTTTCCAGTTAGTTAAAGCATGAACCTCAAAGGGTTTTAGGTTGATTTCTCATTCCGAGTTCTTTTTCCCATTCAGGGACGGGTTCCGCAACAGATTAGAGAATATTGTCCGTGGTCAAGCAAGCAGCAATTCTGATAGTACATCTAACAATAATGTTAATGATTCTAGAAATGAACGGTTGCAAACAAACCCTTTGCAGGATATCCAACATGAAAACGAGCATTCACAACCTACTGAAAATGATGTCTTGGGGTTGTCTGATCAAACAGGCAGTTTGGATAGCAATGCATCTGTTGAGAATATAAATTGGCAAGAAAATGCTAACCGTGGAGAAAATTGGCAGGAAGAAACCAATAATAATGAGAGCAGTAATTTGCAACAGCCAATTCATGATCTGTTTAACCAATGGAGAGGCGGGAATGCAGAAGAAATGGTTACAAATTGGCAAGAAACTTCAGTTAGTGGTTATCACCAGGATACTCCAGGAAATGTTGGGGAAAGTCATTCACAAGGAGCCCAGAGGGTTTGGCGTGAGGGTGGATCCCAAGTAGCAGTTGATACTTGGTCAGAAGGGCCTTCTGATCCCCCTAGAGCCCGTCGTGGTGTTCCACTTAGAAGATTCAACCAATTTCATCCACCTGATGATGATAATGTGTATAGTATGGAACTCAGAGAACTTCTTAGTAGGTAATTGAGCATTCAGGGTTTACTATTTGTGATTCATGTCAAATATAACTTCTTTTGATGAAATGTATACTATAATTTGCAGGAGAAGTGTTTCTAATCTTCTTCGAAGTGGTTTTCGTGAAAGCCTGGACCAATTGATACAATCCTATGTGCAAAGACAAGGTCGCGCTCCAGTGGACTGGGATCTGCATAGAAACTTGGCAACCCCATCCTCACCAGAGCGAGATCAGGAGCAGCCGAGGGGTGAAGCAAATGGTGATCAGAATGATGCCATCAACAGACCTTCAATGGTCTTGCCCTCCCCACCAGTACCACCACCACAGCCACTGTGGCATCAGGATTTACGTCATGCTAGCTGGTCTAGGCATAGCATGCACCGTTCAGAAATTGTGAGCCATTCTTCTTAAATCTTTAGCCTTTATATCATCTTTAACAAGTGAACAAATAATTTTTCTCATTTGTCATGCTGATAAGGCTGGTTCAATTCATGTTTAATTAATAAGATGTGAAATGGCAAAGTAAACAAGTTCCAGATTTTAGGTTACTTTATTTTTACATTTTTGAAGTTTATTAATGGCTGCCTGCTTCGTTCAGGAATGGGAGATAATAAATGATCTAAGAGCGGATATGACAAGACTTCAGCAAGGCATGAGCCACATGCAGAGGATGTTGGAGGCCTGCATGGATATGCAACTTGAGTTGCAGCGCTCTGTTAGGCAGGAAGTATCTGCTGCTTTGAATAGATCAGCTGGTGAAAAAGGTCTCTCTGCAGTTCCAAACTTTCAACCAAATCATCAGCTCATTTCGCATGCAAAGCATTTGGTTTTGGAAAATTTCTTTTATTAGTATCATATGGCAACAATGATTGTTTCTGTTTCTAATTAGTCACTTGGATTGCAGGTTTCAGTGCAGAAACATCTGAGGATGGTTCTAAATGGGGTCATGTGAGAAAAGGGACCTGCTGTGTTTGTTGTGATAGTCATATTGATTCACTTCTGTACAGGTTTGCCTGCTTTACACTATATGTTTTTCCCTCTTCTTACTGTTTATCGTATTATATGCACATGCAGATGGTGTAGAAGCATAAATCTGCACTAAACATGAATCGATTATTTTCTTGTTACTAATTATGTGTTTGAATTTTTTCTTCCACTTCCCCATTCAAAAAATCTTGCAGATGTGGGCACATGTGTACATGTTCAAAATGTGCAAATGAATTGGTCCGTGGTGGGGGAAAATGCCCCTTATGCCGGGCGCCAATTGTTGAGGTAATCCGAGCATACTCAATACTGTAAAGAGGTGAGAAAAACACAATAAGGATTGAACAGGATAGGAATGACCGGAAAGGTCCAACTCTAAGCCAACACCTGTTGAGGTTCCAATCTACAGTGTTCAGTTGTTGCTGTTGTTTTTCTGGTTATATGAGTCCACCCTGCAGTATATAGTTGTATAACAATTGGCATCATTAATTCTTAATTCATGCGTAAATAAAATAGCTTACAGAAAATTCTTTCCATTTTCTGCTGTCTTCATCATTAGGTACTGCGGAGTTTCTGTAAAAAATTAGAATATGTTTGAAATTTGTATTTTAGATAGTTTTGGTCTCAATCAGGATACCTAGGGCAGGGTAGTGAACTGCTTTATGGGCTAGGCGGGCCCTTTGTTCGCATCCGCAAAGTATGTTTAACTGGCCCAATCTGTTGAATCCGTGTACTTTTAATTGGATATATCAACCGGGCCAACCAAATCTTTTAGTGAGCAATTGCCCAGACGGCAAATTAATCTATGGGCTCAGTGGCCCAACCAATGGATGAATTATTTTTGGGCTATTGAACTAGTACGCAAATTATTTGACAAGCCTGGAGACTCAACCAATGAGCTATTTTTGGGCCAATTGGCCCAACCCATAAATTGTTTTACCGGCCCAGGAAGCAACAATTGAACCAATTTGGACCCATGGGTCCAGTACGTACAAATTATTTCACGGCTTAGAGCCTAAACATCCAATTAATTCAGGCCTCGGGCCCAACCTACAAATTGTTTCAAGGGCCCGAGGCTCAGCCAATGAACTATTTTGGGCACGCAAACTTTTAGTACGAGCTCAATGGCTTAACAAATGACCCAATGAATGAACTATTTTGGGTAATCGGCCCAGTCAGCAAATTATTTCACAGGCCCAGTGGAACAACCAATGAACTATTTTGTGCTAATCCACCGAGTCCGGAAATTATTTTACAGACCAGATTCTACCATATTGCGAAATTATCTTAATAGCCCGACTGCGTAATTCTAAGACAGTAAAACTATTTTGCAGGCTAATCTATCCGATTAAGATGATAAATTAATGGGCCAAACAGTCCAATTTATAAATGCTTTAGCCAGGTACTCAACGTAATTATAGTTGCATAATTGCAGAAGAGTGCAGTAGTAATTAATTACAAAATGTATCTTTATTTATTTATTTATTTTTTTGGAACATTTTGTCATGAAATCGGCTCGAACCGGCTTGAACCGTTGTCATGGAGAAGGGGAATATCAACCTTACAAGCGTGGCTAGAGCCACTTGATCCGAAGATGAGGTTCATTACAAAAATGTATCTTAAGTGAGAAAAAAAAAATAGTAATAATAAAGAGCTAAAACAAAAAAAACAGCAACTCCTACTAAACAGCCTCTAAAAGATCATATATCATGTATGATTCCCTCATTAGAACTAAAATACTACTCCTACTCTAATTCAAAGATTAATTAAAACGCATCTGATGATATAAATCTAAGCCAAACATCCTCAGAGAACTCCCTTCCATATGAGGAGCTATCATCACGTCATCATCAAGATGCCCAAAAGCTGAATCCGAGTAGGAAGGAAATGAGTTAGCCAAAGGCGGAGGCGGCGGCGGCGGCAGCACACCATTCTCTACGGGTACGCCTCCATTGGCATCGTCCACGAGTCTAGTGGCGGCTGTCGCGGCAGCATCAGAATCAGAATCTTTCCCCGTGAGCTCCTGTACCAAGGCTCTAAAATTGGAGGGACAAGTCTTGACCTCAATGGGACTGGAAATATACACAACCTTAAAACCCTTTTTAGTAGTACTATTTCTTCTTCTTGTACTAGCATGCTTTCTCCGAAGCGCATCCATAATGATAATGATCGAAGCAGGACAAATAAGAATGAGTTAAAGAATACAACAAGTTAAGGCGGCGTGGGGGTTAAATAAGGAAGGGGATCATATAAAAAGGGTACGGAAATTGGGATTTTTCTTGGGGTTCAAGTACAACGAGGTGGTTTCGTGGAAAAGGGGAAGAAGATTAGAAGGTTTTGCAAAGAAGGACAGATGGAGAAGAACTTGCAGAGGTGCTTGGAGGACCCGTAACCGCAAGCTAGATGCTTTAATAATTTAATAATCTAATGAGATGATTTTTTGTGATGGTACCTTTTGTTCTGATCTGAGAAAAATGAATGGATTAAAAGACCTCGTGCGCAGTCTCCTGTGACTAGGGGAACTTGACTCTTGAATTTACGTATTGTTCACATTGAAGGAAATTATTGGGGTTCCAAGCGATATTTTTAAATCCAAACCGGAGGTTAATTAAATCATTCATATATTTGGTTTTGGTTGGACTATTTAACTTGGTTAAGTTGTATGGTTGTACCGAATGGTATTATAAATAATTTATTTATAAATTATATATAATAAATAAAATATAATGTAAAATAAATACAATAACACTCGGTGGTTGGATGATAAAGAACTCTTTAATAATTGATGGGTTGAGAATTTGAGATTCTTTTATATCATTTAAATTATAATAAATAACATTTTACATAAAACATATCATCAAGAGCCATGCCACTTGAATTTTGAAATTAAGGGTAAGAGTTTGAAATTCGATAATACCTCACTCTCATTTCTCCTTGAAAAAATGAACCAGTTAGTTCATTAGGTCATTAGTTTTTATGGGTTTTTTAGGTTTTATCTAAATCAACTCCACAAACAAGTTTAAATCATTGTTTGAACTAAATTTATAGCTATGTATTGTTTAACTAGTTCAACAAGTGAAATCAGTTTGAATTTAAAAACACTGGTTTCAAGTTCTTATTCTTGTCTCCCTTTTTTTTTTTTTTTTTTTTACAAACAACTAAATCTTGCATTGTTCACTTGTTATCAATAGAATGAATGCCAATCAAATTATTGTCCCGCAAGTAAAAAGGGCTGTGATTGTATCATTGTTTATTAATACGTATATCACATGACAATTTTAGAGTAAACAAAAGCAACGAATATATTACATGATAACTTTTAAATAAGTTATTACTATGCATATTTTCTTTTAATAAGTCATTTTGGTGTAGGATGAGACATTTTTTAATATATATATATATATATACTTTTAAAATAAATTAGCACAAACTCTGGGGATGCAGCGGTTTGGATGAGAAACTACTAGCAGCAAACATTAAGTTCTTCTTGGCCATCGTAGAAAACTTGGCACTAGTGATCAAAGGCTTGATTTGAGGAGAGAAGAATCGGATGCTAATTTTTTTTTAAAAAGAAAAAAGAAAAAAAAAAAAAAAGAGGAAGGAGGTCTGTACACGACAAAAGATGGAAGAAATTAAAGGATGAAGGTTGAAAGTGGAAAAGGATATCTGTACAATAGAAAAAGAGTAAAGAAGCATAGGGAAAAAGAGGAAAACATCAAAAATCAGACTGTAAAATTAGAAAAGGAGGAGAGGAATGGAGAGATTGAGAAAGAAATTGACTGGAAAAGAGCAAAAGATGCTTAACAAATGCCGGCCTCAAAGATTATAGGAAGCTTAAGAGACGGTTAGTATTGACAAGACACAAGAGCTTGGCTGAGTACCTGTAAGGACAGGTCCGAGGTGCCAAGACTCGGACTGCTACAGTAATCCCTTTATGATCGAAGTGAGGAATGAATCCAAAGCGTTCCGCTCAAATAGCTGTATGATAACAACAATAAGCATGCCCGCACCTGATTCCTTATGATGAGTGGCACAGCAAATATGGTGGACGCTCGTGCACCTGAATACCTCTCAAATTCCTGGTCCTGGAATAATCGTTTGGATAGACACGTTAAGCTCCGATTATCTTGCTTGGCATGCCACGTGGGTTCCTCATTGGATCCTATAAATACCCCCCGGGCCACGTCAAAAAGGTAATTGAAACCAACCCTAAGCTCTTTTTATCTCCGCCTTAAAGGTAGCCCCGATTATTGCTGACTTAAGCATCGGAGTGTCTACCCCGAGTTCCACCTCGGAGCTTTGCAGGTCACTTCGGAGTACAAGCGCGGACTAAAGAAGGATTTCGGGTTTGGTGCAATTACAGTACCTAGTAGCTAAAAATCAATCTTGATCTAATGTCAAATGATTCAAACTTCTGCCATACTAAATAATTAATTTTTAATTTTTTTTTAAAAAATACAGTGAAGTTATTATATGTAACATTTTTCTTTGACATAACTTCTTACAAATGGCTATAACTAGGGGTACTTTATGAGGAATTAAGGAGTTTGATTTGGAATGATATACAATGAAATAAATAATAATAAAAAATTATCTTTTACTATGCGAATCAAAAAAATAATAATAAGAAATTCAGAGGAGATACCCTAGAATAATCCTAAGCTTAAAGCACATGCTGTCAAAGTTTTCAAGATGGTTAGTGTCTGCTAATCCAAATTAATTGGATCTCATTGTTATGATAGAAATTAATGAATAATTATACGTGAATTGGTTAATTTATAGGTACGTGAGTCAGCCATTTAGTTCCAAGGGAAAGGTGAAGTTGTTGTGGGGATACTACTTTGAAGTACTTGGGCTCTGTTCATATCAAGAATGGTATCAATATTGATCCCATTTTGAGTTAATTAATGTCTCAAAAAGCATTTCCCCATGTGGTCATAGTTTCAGCCAAATTTCTCCAAAGTGAAAAATAAGAGAAAAGCATTTTGATCTATAGATCAAGTTTTAGATTGGATTTTTCAAACAGACATTAATTTAACATTGTAATTTTTTTTATTTAAAAAATTTCAAAAAATATCATGTACTTTAAATTATATAATTTAAATTATTAAATAAAAATAGATTCAGTTTTTCATATAACAATTTTTATTTCATAATAATTACAAGTTTTTATTATGAAACTGCAAACAATAACTCTTAATAAATTTAATCTACATCCTTTTTCAACGTTTAAGAAAAAAATTAAGTTGTCTTAATACTGGATTAATTTGGTACTGATCAGTTCAGGTGGTGAAGGAGAGGCGGTTTTAAGAACAATAAAAGAGGGCGTTGGAGTGAAATGGACAGGGGAGATGAGCGGCGCGTGGAGTCAAGCCTACGACCCCCTGGCTGCTGCCATAAAGTCCGAGATGAAACTAGAAACTTCTGCCAATACAAACGTCGTCGTTTAAAATGACCAAAAAGTCATCATGTTCCCAAAAAAATAAGAAGAAAAAAAATAAGAAGAAGAAGAAGAAGAAGAGGAGAATAATGTTGTTTTCAACTTTTGGGTCAAACTGCTTTCAAATGTTATGTTGATTTTTTTTTTTTTATAAAGAAAAAAAATCTTACATTAATAAAATAAAATAAAATGTAAATTAAGCATCCCTCAATTATTCCGTGACATGTTTATAGGTGATCTTAACTTGACATGTTTTAATGTTAATCGGTAGTTCAAGCTTTTCTTTTTAGCCAAATCAATTCTTTTGATCTAATAATATTTTTTAAAATTTTAAGTATTTAAATATAATTAATCAAAAATTTAATTTCTATCAATGACTTAAAATAAAATCTTACTTCTCAAAATTCCTTCATGTTCAGAAAAAAAAAAAATCTTCTTAACCTGTTCGCAA